AGTTAGGAATGCGAAAATGGCTGCTACATTCCTCAATTTGCATTATTTTATAACATGATATGATGTTCACTTAACTGTGCAGCACACAAGAAGCCGATGAGGCGGAGTAACACATTCCCAGGCAGTCCGGTGCCATGCCGCACTTGACCGCGCAACCCATCTGCGTAGAAACAAACTCATTATTCCAGTTGATTTAAGGCTAAACGTACAAATATCATGACATATTCATGATCAATTTCATCCCAATTAAGTGAGGTCCAAAATTCCAGGTCGAAAATACATCAATCCATTAAAGTCAAATTTCTGATTTAGCAGAATGCTCACAATAGCAGACAATAATTGCGAGTCTACTCCTAATTATTCTTAATTAAAAGAAAATTTTCACACATACAGGGTGCGGCGTGGGAACTTACTCTTTTAAAAAAATNAAGCATCCGAAGTTTTCTCTAAAATGAGATAATCCATCTATTGATATTGAAGTCCAAAATCTGTTGCAAGTAGTTCCGTTCTTTGTAGCCTGTCTCGCTTCATGTTGAGTGATAATATTTAGGTGTCACAGATTAGTTATTTTCAAGCCGCTATATATTCAATTCCATGCTCGATATCTTAGGCAATCTTTCCATATCATTTTCTTATTCAAACGATTCACATCAATACCTCCTTCTCTCAACTCCACACGAGAACTGACCATAAAAAGACCAATATGTTTGAGACACATAACCGAGTGACGCTCAGTTACTAAGTGATTCTTTGGAGTACAAAAATTTCACCTGTTCATTATGGACCGAGTCTTAATGCAGTGCAATGAATGCACTAATGCACTGCCGCACTTTCTCCATCTTGATGGTCCCCGTCGCCTAAATGTTGAGTGCTGCCCACCAAGCAATCTGTTGCAAGAAATGTCCAACCATTGAATTATTTTAGTGTTTTTATGGTTTTGCCCCTTTGTCAGTGGATTGATGATGCGATTTTAGTTCGCCGTTTCCATTAATTTATAAATTTTATTTTTCATCCATCTATTCCCGTAGTATTTCTTATTTGTTGCAGAAAGAGCTGGAGATGAGACTAATTTGATATGGAGACTGTACCCAACTTGGATTTAGATAACATGAACAATTTAAAACTGTATCTGTGCAACGAAGACGGGAAAAAATTGTGCACCTCAGTTGTGTATTTACTTCGTAAATTGCTGCATTTACGCATCCTCGTCGTAGAAATTCAATTTTGCACATGCATTTTGAATTGTAATACCTAAAGCTATTTGGACAGTTTTAGGTATGATTTTGTATCATTCCTTTATGCTGTCAGGAAATTGTCATTTGATGATTTGATGTGCGATCGTTCACAATAAGAATAAACTAAAATATTTATTTCAAATGGCCTGGAGGCACCACTGCAATTTTTTAGTATTCGATGCGCAGAAATTATTTGAAGTCAACTTTAAATTTATAAACACTACTTTACAGGAACCTGACCATGTTTGGCTTGAGGAAGCTCAAAACTATACATGAAATTCAAATGTTTGTGAAAAAATGTATGTTCATGTGCAGTATTTGAGGGTAAATTCAAAGAAAATTTAACATGATTGATAGCGTTTATCATCAATCAATGGATTCATTTCAGCCCAGCACTTAAAACACAGATTAGACGTACAGAAATGATCGCTCCATATCTGAGTAATCAGTCAGAAGTGAGAGAGCACTCAAAAAAATAAATGGGTCACATTGCACTTATAATAACAACCAACATTCTTAAGGACAGTAAGATCAGAGAACGAGCGTGTCAATAGTATACCGCCTTTCAATAGCCGTGCCAAACTAGATCAGGATGACCCGGCCACTAATGGGCAAAGAGTGCAACACCATTAGACAATGTTTCACTCATTTGTTTGAGTGATTGCTCTAACTTCATGTGAGTGCGGCTTCACTAATGGCTCAGGTCACGAATTAACCTTCAACGAAGCTCAGAATACCGAACATTAACACATATTCTGACCCCAGTCAAATTAGCTTTCATTGCAATGAGTTTTGAGGGTGGAGTGGAAGCGACATTTGCTAAAAGAATATCACACAAATCCCAAAATTACGGTTTAAGACAATTGATGAAATTTAGTTTCATAGTAAACTCCTACTTTAAAAAGTACCAGTAATTTCGAGGACAATTTACATAAAGCTATTTCCAACGGTGAAGAAGGGGTGTAGAAATTGAGATGAAGATATTAGAAGGAGAGAGGAATGCCTGCTCTTAGTCGTGGTGACGAGACACAACGGCAGGGAAAATAAAAAACAGGAAGGAGGAAATTTTGAAAATTGGAATAAAGTGAGGCAGTCTGATCTAAATTTAAATCGGCCAAAGTTGATAGCCATCAGTAATTGACGACTGAAATTTTCGTTAATGAAATAGATGCATCCACGTTACTTTGCTAGCTAGGTGCTGATCCGCTTCCATGAGGGTTTGTCAGTGGCACATTAATTAGCTTTTATAACGGTTTACATTTTGCTTTTCGTCAGTACACTTTTTTTCGTGTTCGAACTCGCAGCTTATCCACTACAGCTTTGCAGCCCTATAGCACTCCAGCGTTCTTGACACTTAATTGGGAGCTCTGTAGCAGCTTCTAAATTCGTGCGAGAACGCAACGCTTGGCTTTAGAAGTTTGTTCACAAATTGACTCTGTTTCCAAAAACCGTTTAATTAAAAATAATATGCCTCACTGCTATGCGATTCTAAGCTCTGTTGATTGAAACGTATGACTGAGACAAAGGTTTACGTAAGTCTTTTCTTGACGCAAATGTCACCAAACACTTTAGGCGATCAAATAAGTAGATGCTCTCTAATTTTGGTCGTACACGTGTCACTTAAATGATTTTGCCAATACCTCTAAGGAACTGCTGCTCCTCGTAAAGTGAGATAAATTAATCTAACTTAAAGCTCAAAATTAATGGGAATCTTGGCTTCGTGCGTCGATAGAAAGACTCATTTCAGATAAATTTTATTGCGTTCAGTCTTCTATACATCCCTTTAGCTATCTTACTGCTTAGATACCATGCATGCAGCAAAGATAGCTTCTGACAATACGGATGATATTAAACACATGAGGAAATATCAGATGTATTCTCTTTGAATAACGTTTGTTCATTTAGTATGAACCAATCATTAATTAACGAACAATTTGATCAGACAATGCTCGTATTTCACTGACCACAATTTTCTTCACAGTTGAGGTAAAAATTACATTTAGCGTTTCCAAATAGCACAAATGCAGCTAATGATACGGCGAATAAATTAATATTTGAACATTCTTTGTTTGAAAATGATTAAAATTACTCTCGTCCTTATTCATCGTGGAAATACGATTTTGATTGGCTGTCTTCGACCACGTGGGCCAATTTTAGTGCTGTGCATTACCTGAGCGCCAAATTTATTTCTCTTTATTTGAAAAAATTTTCACTCATCTGCACCGATTTTGTGCGCAAATGACTAATGATAATATTTATCGGCAAATTCCACGTGTAAACGCCTCTGATACTATAACAAATTTCGAAAATAGTCGTCTACTCTAATTTTTATTAGAGAAAGACATACATTGAATTGGAAAATTTTCTACTAACGCTTACCAGTTGAAATACGCAATGAATTTACATATTCAGAGTCCTAAAACTCATGAATTTTTAGCCATTCAATGATTTCATTTCTGTTATGCGACCTTAACTCATCGCATGAATTGTTATGGTGAATTCGCTCAATTATTACAAAGAGCTTTAAGTCAACTGGAGTCGTTGTTAACAGACTTACAAGTTCGATAAATTTAAACGTAAGTTCAGTGATGAGAAACCTTAATTTTTTACGAAATAGTTTAGAGAAATCCAAAATTTCCACAGAAGTTTTAGATTGCTTTCATCCAATAAATTCCATCTAAGTCTAGGATAAATTTATCTAGGTTTCATAGCGTATAGCGCTGTTGATTGGGACGGTGAAATTCTCTTTGAACTTTTTGAACTCACTTCTTTTGAAATTCGTTCTTTTTTGAAATTCTCTTTGAACTCACTGATAGTCGTATACTCAGTATTGACTGATAGAATTATATCTCTTAATGATTGATTAATTATTTGTGCGTGTCGATTATCTGTGCACTTAAATTTAAACACATTGTTGTTTTCCTAATTTACGAGATTTTGCGCGTTGGATTCCGAGCCATGCACTTAAGATTCAACTTCATTGTCACAAATAATTGAACTTGTGTGTCAAAAAGTATTTGAAGTGACAAGCAGAAGTTATTATTCCTGCTTTTATTGAAAATAACGTTCATTATATATTTCAATTTCATTGATTTAAATTGTTATTAATTTATCAAATTATTTTTTTATTCATTTCAACTACTCGCGATCCGTCATAACACTAATGATTCTAAAACAATTGTTCGTAAATATTCTTCAGATTGAAACAAAGAAATTTTTGTCTCAGATCTTACGTTCATATTTTGCTTAACTTCGTCCATCAAGGCCTAAAATTTTTAAAAATTAAGATTTTTGTTGTAACGAAATGATGAGTTACAAACATTAACAGATTTGGGAAAAAGCAAAACGCTGAAATAGAACCGGTTTTTATTATTTTGAACTGATCTTCGCTAGAACCTCTGCAAAAACGTACTTCCGAATTAACCATCAACAAATAAAAGGAATATTTACGTTAACCAATGTCAATGTTAAATACTTCGTAGTACGTGTGGGCACAGTGGAGTTAGGAAGAATAACAGGCGGTGCGAAGTACCAAATTACACGTCTAAATAACATCATTTCTAAAAAATATTCCGTTTAATAAATTGCGATAGAGCGGAAACTTGAACATTGTACACACAATATTCATATAGATTGCAAACATTCAATTGGATTTTGCTAGACACGGTTCCTGTGTCAGAGTACCAAATGAATGAACAAAATTGTGCGCAGACATTTACTGAATCTCATTCATTATTGTTGCACATTCATAAGGGATAATAACGCGTTCATTATCGTAGTTTTTTGAAGCACTTGTAGTCAGCGGGGTAGGATGAATGAGGCAGCGAAACTCGGCTGTACGGTGCGCAAGATTGGCAGATGTACGGTGACGCAATATCGCAAGGAAAGTCGTTGAAAAGACCATTATAAATGTTCAGGCACTGCTCAGAGCTCGTCAAGTGATTTGGTTCACCAGAGCCCCAATTCAGGTATCTCGGTGTCTGGCCTGGTTGAAGAGTGACAAAGAATAATGTTATTTCTCTCCGAATGGGTGCAGGCGATCTAGGTATATCTTTTGCATGATTTATAAAGAATTTAAAACAAAGATGATGGCACAAAAATTCACCATATCTTTATAAAAGATAACGGTTTGGAGTACAACTCCATCGTGAGTTTTTTAAATTGATAAGGTGATTTTTTTCATCTTATTTGTTTTTAAATTCCTTGTAAATTTTCATTGCAATACATCAACTTATCTTAGTACTTTTACGGATATTTATTTGGAAATGGAGACTCCGTATTGATGTCATGTTGGATATGTAAAGAATGAAATTTTTAACGCAATGACAATTTAGGAGTGGATCTCGCTTAAAATTAATTTAAAGTAAATGGCACATCTTCATAACCTTATGGCTGCACAGATTACACATTATAAGCATTATATGTTTTCTTACTTGGATGGGAATTGTAGCTTTAGAAAACATAAACATGATTTAAAAGAGACATTTTAATGAGAGTCTTCCGATTGAGTGATAGGAGGGAAAAATTCTGATTGGATAATTACACGAAAATAAATGAAGATTTAGCATCAAATTATCAAGCTATTTGGATTATCAGTTTCAATTGCAAGGAATATATTAAAGTTTATTTGAACGAAGAGGTAAAAAAATTACATGCTCACTGTTGCTAACATTACGAGCCTATGCTTTATTATAGTTAAAGCCTAAATTAACTGACCTCCGTAGTCGTTGAAAGCACCGCTGGTAACAATATTGTTACCAGCCGTTAGCATCAAGTCCTTTTCGCATCAAGTCCGTTTCGCCCGTTAGCATCAAGTCCTATCCAAAAATATCCCAATCCGGACGAGACTTGGCGTAAATATGCAAGTTCATTCCCATTCTGTAAATAAATCATTCTTTTCAAAGTGTTAGCTATCTGATGATACGTCTTGATACTTGCCATGAAGTTCATTCCTTAATACGCATTCATGTGTAAAATTGTAAATACCGTTTAGGTGGTATCGGAAGAATCCAACTCTGCTTCATGATCGTATATGGTGCCATGGAAAATAATAGAAACCACTTAAAATCTGTTAATTGCAAAATTGATCTGACGAAATGAAAAATTGACGTTCTGTTCCAAATTGGTTTTCCTACTCCCTAGTTTTCTAAGTTCAAGTTCCATTCTCGACAATCGGGACATTAGACTCAAGGATTTTCATAACTCACGCTTCACACTGCCTAACAGTTCTTAACGTCCGCTTCCGAATTTTAACTTACACGAATTACAAGTAAAATGACTCTAATATAAGAACAAGTAATTAACAAATACCAAAAATATCATTAATCTGCAATCGCAAAGTAAGGGTGAAAGTTTAAAGTTAAAAGTCTACATAATTGTAATGAAATATCCTGTATTTATTATTATTTAATTCTTAAATTTGTATAATTAATTAATTAATAAATTCTTGTATAAGCGGCAACAAAAATCACTCACGGCCGGCACTGCGAGGTAGGCGCCCCAGGCTCTACAGTTGGAATAGGCGCTGGCCTGAGGGAGGCCGTCGGAGTGGTAGATGTACGTCATCATTCCATCGATGCGGTTTGAGCTGGAGAGGTAATTGGGTTCTGTGGCGGAACAATATTTGAATATTATAAATATTCGCATACTAAGGCATATTGTTTCCTGTCATTAAATATGAATATTAAATGGCTCATGTTCGAAGAATCATTGAGTGGCTGGCGTTAGATTTACTATTGTATTGATATTTGGGATTCTCCAAAAAAATAAATGGAGGTAAAATTCCGTGAAATTTTTAAAGTTCGGAAATAAATTTTAGACCGTGGATCAAATGAATTAGATTTTGGCAAAATTCTTTAAAAAAGCGTCTGAAAAATAATCTATTTAAATACTCTCTAGTTTTACCTATGGTAGGAAAGATCATGTACAACATTCAAACAATTTAATGATGCACGCAGTCCAGCCAATCCTCTGTCCTCTGCTGTGTGTAATCCCTAATTAATCATAAAAAGTTTATGCAAACATGACGAGCTTCTGAGCGAACCGTCAATATGAAATGGCACGAGGGATATGATTACATAATAATAATAACAATAATAGTAATATAAATATAAAGAATAATAATAATGTTAATAATAATATTTTATATAATTTTCATTGTTATTATTATTATCATCATTATTATTATTAGACATCGACATACACTGGTGAGTTGATAACATTGTGTGGACTGAGGGTTTCGAGTTGTTCACATTGTATGGACTGAGGGCTTTGAGTTGGGTGGGCGAAAGAAGCCATAGAGAGTGTGCAAGCTCTTCTGGCGTGGGAGAGAAGTACGCCTACCATGAATGGGTCTCTATGTTCGACTAAGACTGTAAGGATTTTACACAGTCGAGTTTTGAATCTTTTTAAAAGTTTATTTAATTAATGAAAGCAGAACAAGGAACTTTGGGAGGAAGCAGCAACGGCGCATCCACATATAGAAGAAACTTCATTTATTTAGAATTCATTAAAAGGCTGCAAACTGCTCTTCTGGTAACAGCGCAGAAGCTAGGATGGTTTTGGCACAAAAAAATAAGCACAGTTATTGCAACCAAACAAAACGAAAATGACACACGGCGTTCACACAAAATAAGGAATAGAGAACCAGGTTTATAGGAAGTTTGAGAAATACTTAATGATTGATGAACATGATGACACTGATTGGCAGGCGGTACAAAATTTGTAGTTCGAATTGGTCACTGAAGGAACCGACCACCGCTCGGAACTGCTTAAAAATTGAATCTGCCTATCTTGCTCGCGCAGAACCCAACGTCAACTTGTCCGCACAGCTGGACAAAAAAAGACGACCGCACTGCGCGAAAAAATTAATCATTTGATGTTTGTGTAATTCTCGGGGAGAAATGTTAAATTTCTCACACACTCCCCCCGGCGACAAGAAACTTCAGGAATCGAGAACTCCACGAAGCCGCGCGAGACACCGCTCAGCTGCCATCCTGCTGGGACGGCCTGCACATTGAACAGTAGGAGCAGGTTTTGCATTAGATTCAGAAGGTTTGTATGACGGAACTGAACTAAGGCCTAATTCTAATGGATACAAGAGACTAATGGCATATTCTCCAGTGGAGCGGTCAGACCTCAACACCTCCACGGAGCGACATTTACCGTCTCGTCCGGTAAACAATTTCGTTACTCTTCCCAATAACCACATCGGCCTAGGCTTTACAGGAGAAGATATAAGTACTATATCGTTAACCTTGATCCGATCTTCCCACGAAGGTTCATAACCATTGCGCGTGGCTTCACGTAATGACAAGAGATAGTCGTCATACCATAGTTCTTTCAATTTTGACAGAATTTCTTCACGTTTCTCCAATGCTATTGAAAGCGATTTCAATGACGGTTTCAAGATTTCACTCCCGGAATGCTCTCCGAACAGCAAATTAGTCGAGTTACCACACTTCAAGAATGAGTTTGGTGAGATCACAGTATGGGAAGGGTTATCGTTGTCTCGAGCTGTCAATGGTCTGGAGTTTACTGCATCCTGCACATCGGAAATGAGGGTTAGAAATTGGTAATACTCTATTTTGCTTTTGCCGATTGATTTGAAGAGACAATTTTTAACAACTTTAATAAGCCGCTCCCAGGCCGCGCCGTACCACGCACTGTAGAGGGAATGCGAACATGTTTAACGCTGTTGCGAGCAAGAAATTCTGATACGTAATCGTCTGAAAAAGAAGAGTTAAGTAATTTGGCAGCTTGACTGAAAGTTGGGGCATTATCACTGTAAATTGCTTTGGGAAATCCAAACCTGTTTGTGAATCGAATAAATGAAGACAAAAATGAATTTGTTGACATATCCGGAACTAGTTCAAGATGAATGGCTCTTATGTTGAGGCAGGTAAATATTATCAAATACATTTTAATGCAAGATTCGCCGAACTGAACGAAGAAATGGCCAGTAAAATCCACGCCGACGTTGTCAAATGGCCTGATCATGTTTACTTTGTCGCTATGAAAGTCTGAAGGTTTCGGATATTTGAATGCGTGCGAATTGTACCTCTGACAAGGTACACACTCTTTGAGCACGCTTTTGACAAGTGGGCGCCCTCGTGGCAGCCAAAAGCCCTGATTTCTCAAAGCATTCAAAGTTGAGCTTGCGCCCAAATGTTTACATTTTAGATGACATTTGACAATTAGTAATTTAGTAAAATGATTTTTCCTAGAAATTAATATTGGATTCATGACGTCGTAGGGCAGATGTTTGCAACGGCTGAGCCTGCCTCTGGAACGAATCACGCCGAATTCGTCCAGGAATAAATTTAGATCTCTGACAAGGCTGGGAATAAACTTAGAATTGCTGGGATTACGAAGAAATTTGAGTTCTTCCTCAAAGTGAACTTTTTGTTCATGCAAAATCCAGTAACGTTTTGCCTTTGCTAGACAATCAAACCTGGACAGCTTCACACGTCGACACAAGCCTGCCACATAAAAAAGTCGGGCGGTGACTCCCAAGAGTCGATCCAGCGATGAATAGCGACTGGCAGTCACAACAGGACAGCTACTATGCTCCTCGGAAACCTGTAATGAGCACGTTACAAGCATCTTGTTCTTAGCGGACAAGCACTGCAAGCCGCTCTCGGGCCAGTCAATAGGCGAACGCGTCAAAAACACAGGCCCCTTCTTCCATAGATTGAACTTCTTATCAAATTCTTTGATGGTAAGTCCACGCGTTAACATGTCCGCAGGATTTGAATTGGTATCTACAAACTTGAATGAACAGTTCAAATCATGTTCGTCTCTCAAGGTCTGTTGAAAATGAATAATGTCTTTTACTCTATTGTTGGCGAACACATTTTTAGTTTTTACCTCTTTATTTAATATCCAGGAAATGGCTATTTGCGAATCCACCGCAAAGTAAACATTAGAAATGCGAACTCTCTTCAGAGAAATGATCAAATTCGATAAGCATTTTATAGCAAGATATATGGCCAATAACTCCAAAGTTGGAAGAGTCTTGGCTTTGAAGGGAGCAACTTTATTCTTACTAAATAGCAAATTAGAAGTTATATTACCGTCACTTCCACTGACGGTGTACACGGTAAATCCATAAATTGTTTTCGAAGCATCTGTGAAAATGACTAAGGAAACTTCATCATTAGAATCGAGAGCTCTGCGTTCGAAACAATATTTTGAAACTTCATTCAAATCTTGCCTCAGGCGAACCCAAGTCTTTTTTAGCTCCTCTGGTAGGTGATCATCCCATCCAAGCTTCAACTTCCAGATCTCTCTCATCAGGTTCTTCCCCCTCACTGTGATCGGATTCACTAAACCCAGCGGAACAAAACATTTAGCAAGCCGGGACAACACCTGACGTTTAGTGCATGCGTCATCACGAATGTCTTCATTCTCTACATTCACAAATAAAACATCGGAGTCTGGAGAATATTGGTAACCCAAAACTTTCTGAGACGGCTCACCGTGACTTACGCCTACTCCGTCCTCGTCAAAGGTCGCATTCAGCTCAGGACAATTCGAGGACCATGACCGCAAATCAAATCCACCTGCAATCATACGAGAATAGGCTGTTCGGTAGAGTTCCTGTAGAGTTACTGGGTCATTACACGTCATGAACAAGTTATCTACATAAATTCCGTTATGAAGGAAATGGTTACACAAATCTGAGGGATAATTCCTGACATGATGCTTTATAACGTAATTCAAAATGAAAGGACTAGAAACAAATCCAAATACAATGGTGGTATAGCGATACACAACTAATTTACCATCTTTTTCCCAAAGAATGCAAAACCGATTTCTGTCTTCCTCGGCTGCTAGATTAATCTGCAAGAAAGCTTTGCGAATGTCAGACAAAATTAAATACTTGTCGTGCCTCAAGCCAATGAGAAGGCTCAACATATTAGCCATCAAATTTACACCTGGAAAAGACGCCTCGTTCAAAGACGGGTCTTTACCTACTTTCAAGCTGCAATTCAAGACCGGCCTCACTTTGGTTGTGCAAGCTGGGTCCAATTTAACAACCTCACGATGCGGAATGTAAATGCGCTTCTCTCCATCTGGAGCTTTTAATGGAACTTCTTCCAAAATCCCTTCATCAAGCTGCTTTTGGAGCACTTCTTCATATTTCTCAAGAACATTTCTGGCTCGCTACCTTGTCAATACCCTGGTCAAAACAGCACGAGCTACAGAGAAATTGCTAGGAACCTTTTCAATCTTATCATTCCACGGAAGAACCACATTATACTTCCCATTTCTCAACTCTATACCCGCAGCAAATTCGTCGATCTTAACTTGATCCGTCTCTGACACAGACTCGTTATCTGACAATCCAATTGATTCCAAGCTGAATAACTTCTCAATATTACCTTCGACCTGACTATCCGTAATCACGTCATTAATTGGGTCTTGGTAACGAGGCAAAGGCGACATAACAAAATTGACACAAGACTGAAACTAACTGTTAGCTCTATTCAGTTCATCATACATACGTCTAGCCTGTTCTCTATCCAAAAAATGTTCTACGTTACCAAACGGGATCACAGAGTCGCCGTAGCTAAAGGCAGTCCCCTTAAGGCAAGGAATAATACTGAAAGCATTAAAGCATTGCACAACATCTACCCCCAGGATTCCGTCACACTTTATCACATTGGAATCCGATGTCAGAGAAGTATCTGCTAGCCTGTATGAACGTTTCAAGTTATGCACAGCTTTACCCAACGAGTGAATCTCAAATGACATGTCGAAGGTTTCGTCGACCAAAATTGGAACCTGCACAGGTTTGGTATTATCCAACAAATCCACAGTCAAAGCTACCTCAGAAAATTCCCGAGAACCTTTCTCAAGAAAGGTATTGACAGCGTATCTCGTTACTTTACGGTCTTTGGGAAAGTTAATCTGATCAAGCACACTACTGGAGACATAAGATCGCTGCGAACCTGTATCAATGAGAAATCTGGCATGGTAGACAGCTTTGCCCCTGCTCACAGGAAGTGTTATAGTAGGCAAAACATAAATAGATTGCTTATCCGCAGAAGAATTGAAACAGACATTAGCTTGCAGCTGGCCATCTTTGGCTTGAGCACAAAGAGCAGAAATATGGCTCTTAGATTTACAAAATTTACACTCGTAATTTAAACTGACTTTACAAGACTGTTTTTCATGCTTTGTACTAGAGCACACTTGGCACATCTTAAGCTCTGCACATCTGTCTAAACGGCTTTGGTAACAGGGATACACGTTACAATGAAGCATGTTATGGCTCTGACTGAAACAGAATTTGCAGGTTTTTCTCTCGGGCAACACAGTGGAAGGGTTAGCAAAGACCTGCTTCTCAGCCGCCTGCACCTGCAAAGACTTACTATGCACGGGAATAAACTTCCGGCCGCCATCAGATGCTGCATCGAAGGATCCAGATCGAAGATTTAAAGTTGCAATCACTTCAACATAGTTGTCAATAATTGCTGTCAACGATGGGTTATTGTCACTCAACTTACGGGCAAGTTCCTGTTTAAAAGGCACAGGCAATTTTGCATTATCACGTTACTTACGACTGTTGAAGCAGCATTCTCATTCATGATATCGCATTCGTAACTTTTCAGGTCAGACAAAATACCTCTAACCTCACCAATGAACACTTTGGTTTCAGCATACGTCACGTCAAATTTGCATCTAAGAGACATCAACTTGTTACTAAGATCACTTACAATGGCTTTCCGATTCAAAAACTCACCGTTCAAGAGATCCAATGCAACATCATAATTAGAGTCATTAATGGTCAAATGGCTAACAAGCTTAGACGCATAACCAGATAGATACCCTTTTTAGTACGTAAGTTTAGCCGATTTGCTCAAATTTTTTCGATGGCCTATGGCGTTGTTAAACTGAGTTATGAAAGTGTGATACTTTAGATAGTCAACTTTCTCACCTGAGAAACTGTCTAGCTTCAATTGAGGCAACTTGACATCCCGACTGACCGGACAAATGCTCTCGACACTTTCCTTCCGCTCAACCGTAAGCTCCTTCAACTTGAGCTCAACCTTGGTAGAGTAGGCCACTTGTTCATCTATTTCAGCATTCAGCGATTCATCGGTACCCTTACCTTCAACGATCTGATCGGTTATTTTTTCATCCCACTGACGTACTATCTCAATGTTACGCTGCACCACAGAGCAATGAGCTTGACATTCGGCTACATCACCGCGCCTAAACGCATCTTCAGCGTTCTGTAAAGCGATAGTTACCTTGCGCTTATATACGCCACGTTTCTTGGGCAATGACGAATCCATTACTGAAAGAAATAATTAAAGACAATACAAAAATAATCAGCAGTCAGCACTCCAAACCTGAGAGAAAGCAGGAAAAAACGAGGAATTAGTTTGGCTACCAGAGGATTGGCGTTCAATTGAATTAATTAGATTTTAATGCAAGTAGAAAATTGATAAAAACCTCAGTATTAACCTGTGTAAGGATTTTACACAGTCGAGTTTTGAATCTTTTAAAGTTTATTTAATTAACGAAAACAGAACAAGGAACTTTGGGAGGAAGCAGCAACGGCGCATCCACATAGAAGAAACTTCATTTATTTAGAATTCATTAAAAGGCTGTAAACTGCTCTTCTGGTAACAGCGCAGAAGTAAGGATGGTTTTGGCACCAAGGCAGGCTTAGTTCCGAGCGGGGCAAAATGCGAGGTCTTCTGGTCAAGTCTCCTTAACGTAGTGAAGTAATCATGACGCCAGACGACGTACACGTGACGTAAAAGAAATATCGTCGCAATGGGAAAAGGCGCATCCACTGCAGGACCCGAAACTTGAATGTTGATACTAGAAAGTATTGTAAATTTTATCAGACTTGCATAAGGATCGATTAGGCAAAATTAATGACATAATAATTTCAGGATTGGCACAAAGATATCAACACATTAAACCAACCTGAGGTTTTTAATGCCCAGTGAATTGATGAATTCTATTTGATGAAGCGAATGAAGAATTTAATTTTAGAAATCCAGAGGAAATCAGTAAGAGGAGTAGGAAGTTGGACGGAAGAAGACAGTAAGAATAGTTAGAGGTTTTACGTGTTAGAGGTTTCTGCGTGTTGAAAGAAGAATAAAGACTTAAATTAGGATGGCAAAAAACCGTAACAGTATAATAAACTGCCGACGCAAATTGCACATGCCCATTTCTTGCAAGTAGATTTATTTTAATACAATTTAATATAGATTTGATACATAATTTAATATAGATTTGATATATAGTTTGATATAAATTTGATATAGAAATTTGATATGAATTTGATATAAATTTGATATAAATCTGATATAAATTTGATATAAATTTGATATAGTATTTTGATATAAATTTGCTTAAAAGTATACCACTTGTGGTAGTCTTAAAACGATGTCCAACTTCCTACAGGAGCAAAAAAAATAAGCACAGTTATTGCAACCAAACAAAACGAAAATGACACACGGCGTTCACACAAAATAAGGAATAGAGAACCAGGTTTATAGGAAGTTAATTTAGAATTCATTAAAAGGCTGCAAACTGCTCTTCTGGTAACAGCGCAGAAGCTAGGATGGTTTTGGCACCAAGGCAGGCTTAGTTCCGAGCGGGGCAAAATACGAGGTCTTCAGGTCAAGTCTCCTTAGCGCAGTGAAGTAGTCATGACGCCAGATGACGTACACGTGAAGCAAAAGAAACAACGTCGCAATGGGAAAAGACGCATCCACTGCAGAACCCGAAACTTGAATGTTGATACTAGAAAGAAAGATAAAATTTATCAGATTTGCCTAAGGAGCGATCAGGCAAAATGGCACGATAATTTCAGAATTGGTACAAAGATATTAATACATTAAACCAACCAGAGGTTTTTAATGCCCAGTGAATTGATGAATTCTATTTGATGAAGTGAATGAAGAATTTAATTTTAGAAAGTCAGAGGAAATCAGTAGGAGGAGTAAGATGTTGGACGGAAGAAGACAGTAAGAATAGTTAAAGGTTTTACTGCGTGTTGAAAGAAGAATAAAGACTTAAATTAGGATGGCAAAAACCATAACAGTATATTAAACTGCCGACGCAAATTGCACATGCCCATTTCTTGTAAATAGATTTATTTTAATACTATTTAATTTAGATTTGATACATAATTTAATATAGATTTGATATATAGTTTGATATAGGAATTTGACATAGTAATTTGATATAGTAATTTGATATAAATTTGAGATAAATTTGATATATGTAGTAATTTGATATAAACTTGCTTAAAAGTATACAACTTGTGGTAGTCTTAAAACGATGTCCAACTTCCTACAGGAGCAAAAAAAAATAAGCACAGTTATTGCAACCAAACAAAACGAAAATGACACACGGCGTTCACACAAACTAAGGAATAGAGAACCAGGTTTATAGGAAGTTTGAGAAATACTTAATGATTGATGAACATGATGACACTGATTGGCAGGCGGTAAAAAATTTGTAGTTCGAATTGGTCACTGAAGGAACCGACCACCTCTCGGAACTGCTTAAAATTGAATCTCCCGATTTTGCTCGCGCAGAACCCAACGTCAACTTGTCCGCACAGCTGGACAAAAAAAGACGACCGCACTGCGCGCAAAAATTAAATCATCTGATGTTTATGTAATTCTCGGTGAGAAATGTTGAATTTCTCACAAGACGCGGTTACCTCATTTCCCCTCATTCCCTTAATTTCCCTCACTCCTTCTACTCCCTCCCCCGCATCCATCACTGCTGCCCGACATAGTATTCCGCCTACCCCAACCCTTGACCGCAACGTGACCCCTCCCCTTTCCGCTTTAAATACCTCGAACAAGAGGCATTTAACTGTTAATAAACGCGTTTGCTGGAGATACTTTCAGGCAAGTGCGATTGAGAGAATGAAGAAATGAACTGTAACTATTCTCACCCTAAGATCTGTCACAAATTTGCAACATTTGGAAGCAAAAGCCAACGCGGATGGAAAAACGGGAGAGGCTGTCAATACTACCATCCGTTCTTGGCTGGAATGCTATCAAAAATGTAGCTTGCAAACGAGATTCCTGTCGGTTTCACCACCTTTAACTCAACCTGCAGTTGAGAGGTAACGCCGAAGAGAGTCGGGACTCTGATAGTTCCTTCTCGGAACACAGGATAGATACTACTGCTACGCTCAAAACATCGGAAAAGATTATATAGTTAGGACTAAACTCGACTCAACTCGATTCGACTTTACTCGATTCGACTCGTCTCGATTCGAGACTCGACTCGACTCGACTCAACTCGACTCGACTCGACCCATCTTTAAAAGAAATCAGTTCTGGGAAGGGAAAATCGATTTTAATCAATGGAACAGGACAGTTCAGAAAATTATCGCACTGGCCAACCCAACCTACCGGAGTGAAGAAGAACCAAAAGGACTCGATATCAAGCGCAGCAATTTTTTAGGCCTACAGAAGTAAGTAGATCAGATTCAACAACAAATGCAGCAGCTGTTGACATTGCAAGAACAACAGCAGATATCACAGCAACAAATGCAACAGCATATGAGCCAGATACCCCTAGCAGTGCAGTGTTACAGCAACTAAGAACGCAAGGAAAAGAAGAGTCTGGCATCATGATAGCCAACATAAAGGGGCTCTTCCCAAGAAGAAAACGCCACAAGATCGGTGTACTTAGAAAAATGCTGAGACGAAAGGAATATTAGTATGCCTGCCTTAACAGGAAATCAAAAAAAAAAAAAAGAGGATAAAAGAGGATATCCAAGATGGAGAAATCGAGATGAAAGGCTTCCAACATTACCGAGCAGACCGAAAAGAAGGGAGGAGAAAAGGAGGCGTTATAGTCTAACTCAGGAACTCCCTAGCGGCAAAAACAGTTCCCCTGCATTTAGGCTCCAATGGATATGTGAAACATGTTATATTATACATCTCCCATCTCCAACTGTGCATAGCTATCGTATATCAACCGCATGCCTGCCCGCCGGAAAAATTAAAAAAATAAATGATACTCTCGAGAGAATAGAATCAGAGGTAGCCAACTTAGGTGTACCTTCCCCAAATATTGTGTTTGCGGGAGATTTTAACCTACCACACATACGATGGCCACACTTGGACTGTTTGGAACGGCACCGAGATCAGGCCAGAAACCAGGCAACACAACTACTTCGATTCGCAAGGGAGCACTTGCTAAGTCAACAGGTTCTGGTGCCAACAAGAGAACACAATATCCTGGATCTATGCTTCACCAGAAATGAAGAACTGGTTGCTGATATTCGTGTTGAGCAGACCGCACTGTCAGACCATCGACTAGTGGTAGTCGATACAACAATTGAGAGGGGAATCCAGCCAAGACCTACACCTCGAGAGGGGCTAGCTGGGCTAAATTTCCATCGTNGCGATCACGTGGACTCGTAGCAACATTTTTAGGTATTAGTGGCAAGTATATTAAAATATTTGAGATAGGAATATTTTGCATATTTTAAAACGTATAAAAATTATTTGTATTTTTATTTTTTAAAGTACATATGCAACATAGCATAAATATTTTTAAATGTGTTTATAATAGTAAATACGTTACATAGTGATTAGAATATAAAAAAATGTGAATTTCAGCATTTGGCGGAAATTTATTGCTTTTTACAAATTGGTAGAATATATGAATAACTTTGTAATTGGGAAAGTGGGATTAGAACCTATAATTAGCGCAACTTTGATCGCTACTTTATAGAATAGAATAGAAGCTGTCTCTTATACACATCTAGATGTGTATAAGAGACCACATTGTATGTAATCAGGGGTTTAAGTTGACCACATTGTATGTAATCAGGGTTTTGAGCTGACCACATTGTATGTAATGGGGGTTTTGAGGTGACCACATTGTATTTAATAAGGGTTTTGAGGTGACCACATTGTATGTAATCAGGGTTTTGAGGTGACCACATTTTATGTAATCAGGATTTTGAGTTGCCACATTGTATGGACTGAGGGTTTTGAGTGTCGAATGAGATACTTACAACGTTATACTCAACTTTGAATATTGATTTCATTTTTAATTGAAATAAAGCGATCTATGAATTACAATCAAATTTATACTAATCGATAAATTATCGCGAAATGATCATAACGGGGTTAAAAAGGAGGTTAAATTCTCACTGGTGCATAATGCAAAGTATAAATATTCTACTGTGCATCAATATGGATTTTTAATATATTAACTTGAAATTATTAAGTACATCATATTCCCCTCCAGGTAATAACCGGCATTTTCTGCTCTCGGAAAGTTTATCCTGCAATCAATTTTTAAACGTGAAAAATGCTTCGATTTTCTTTGAAGACTATACTTATTTTATTACCAGACCTAAATGGTATTTAATATGCAATCTATATATTGTTTGGGACTAACAAAACATAGTTTTGTACGGAATTGGAAACAACAAGTACGAGATATACGAGCCACTCACTGTGCAGCACACAGAGCTTGGTCGACCGTGAGTAGCAGAACCCCAGGCATTCCTGCTTGGCAGCGTTGCATTTGGCTGAGCAGTGTGTCTGTTCAGAGAATAAAACCCCATTTAATGAAGAAAATAATAGTCTTCAACAAAACTGATTATCCTTGGGGTGTAATCGGAGTATTTTTAGACATTTATTAAAGATAATAACGGAATACTGTAAAAACTTTAACTCAGTTGACATGTTTAAAAAAAAAGATAAAATGTCAGGGCATTATCAAAGATATTAATTTATTCCGAGGTTTAAGAGAGAAAAGGGAAGAAATATTGAGTCTGTAAGTAATTAATAACATTTAATTTCTGATCATGAGTCTTCGATAGAGTCTAAAAAAACTTTAAGCACAAAATATAGAGCCTGTGTTTTATCAGATCACGAATATTATCCTCGTCTTCATTTCCTATTATTTCACGGAAGTTCTGTCTCTGGTGCATATATATAATGAGACCTAAAAAAATTTGAAATACTGTTGAGTGCATCCGTCTCACATAGAGTAGAGATGGATAAGCTTTCGTCCTTTAAGA